CCCCAAAAAAAATAATAATGTATGAACAGGTAAAGAATGACACGCAAGAGGCAGACAGGTAAATGGTAAATTCAATATGTATTGACGTTACAATGTTAGACATATAAAATCAGTGCCATTAAACAGCCTTCCCTAGAGCAGGTACAGAGAACGGTGAAGTCGTGTGCTCTGCGGCAGCCTGGAGACCGCCATCCGCGGCGCCCATGGCGGCAAGCTGGCTTTATTTGTTTGTATTTTTAGTACAAGTATGGCATGGGTGGTGACACGGTGGCAAGACATGGGAGCCAGGGTTCCATCGGGTACGATTGATTGGTTAGGTCTCTGCGGATGAGATGGTCGCCCCCTTCCTCCCGTTACATCTTCCCAAATTCCCGCCCCTAAGCTTCTCAGAAAAAAAGGCGACTTTTTTTTTTTTTTTTGCCGGTCATCTCTTGAACATTCACAAACAAAGAAAAAATAAATAAAAGCAATAAAAGAGTCTCGGTTGCTTAATATTGTGCTGGGCAGTTCAGGCACCCACGTGGAGTCCTCAGTCCAAAATGTATAAGGCCGCCACCTTCTACCTGGAAGCTTCTTCCTTCATCTCTTTGTTTTTCCTCACTTCTTCCGCGTGCTTATCCTGCAGAGGAGAGACAAGTCGCTGACCATTAGAGGGAGACCAGGGGGGACACATGGTGCATCATGACTGTAACATATTCCCAAAACCTAATTCTATATCTGCTTGCTGGTTCATATTTTTATTATTACATTTCATAGCCAACTGCTCCCTCTAGTGGTCGTCTGTATATTAGGGAATGTGATTACCCTGCTTAAAAGGAGAGCTATGGGGTTTAGGCTTTTCCCCATAGTTCTCCTTAGGGTAACGGGAGGACACAAACTAGCGTCCTCCTGTCACCCTAGGCTCAGTATACCGCGAGCTGTAGCTCATTATATACCGAGACGCCGCAGCCGGGACAGATCCCGACAATTGTGCCGGGATCCGCCCAACTGCGTGACTGACAGCTGGCTCTGCCTATCTAGAGGCAGAGCCAGCTGTACCCGTCCCCTCCCCCGTCCGTTCCTCCAGTCAGCGCTGGCGGATCGGAGCGGGGAGGGGGGAATCCAGCCCCTCCCCTGTCATGGCCGAGAGCAGTGACAGCATCGAGAGGTGAGCGAACGCCGGTATGTGTTAGCTCACCTCCCGATCTACTGAGCCGACCTGTCACAGTCTCATTGTCACAGGTCGGCTAGAACTATGAGGTGAGTGAAAAGCACTCACCTCATAGTTCTCCTTTAAAGTAGATGTAACCCTCAGTGGTGTCACAAGGGGGGTGCGGGTTGTTCGGCCCGCACACGGGTGTCACCATTGCAGGGGTGACACCCATATGACTGATAGTCATTTTGTTGTCACCCTTCTCTAAAAAGTTGGCCACTCCGTCATGGACTGAGAGCCCGACAGTGTCAGGACAGAGGAGGGGACCGGGCGGCATACCTCATCCCGCCGGGTGAACGTCCCCTCTTCTCTCTGCGGGCGTCCATCACCAAGATGGCCGACAGCAGGCATCAATCAGATGGTCGCGCATGCGCGATGATGTCATAGCGCATGCACGATGTGGCTCCACGCACGATGATGACACGGCGGGGTGTCACCCAGGCTAGAGACCGACCTGACCTTGGGACGCCCCTGTGTAACTCTTAGTTGGATGGCGTTTCCTAAAGCCCTGGGTATCCAAAGTGACTGTTATGTTGTTTTTCTTTCAGATATGGCTATTTTTGCCTTTTTTCTTCATTTGTTGCATCTCAATGCTGCTGGTTTCCTGTAACTTCTTTCAGTAACTTCCTGTCTACATGTACTTGCTCCGGGGTCATTGCTCAGGACTGGTTTTCTGATAGTGACAACAGAGGACCATGCCTGCATAAAGAACGTCAGTAGGGTCACTTGTTGTCTCCAATGGAAGACCGTGTGATAGGGTCACAACACAGGAGAACAAAGGGGGTGGTTATGCTGGTGATATCGTTGACCTTACATGGCTATATGTTCTTATATTAGATCAATTATAATAATCTAATATGGACTTGTGGACAAATAATTTCATTGTTGTCACCCGCATACCGCCCCTTTGTTTACACGTGGCTTGGGGGGTGGGAATGTCCCAGCTGCCGCTGATTGGGCATGCACTAACATCTTACTTCCGGGTTTGGATGAACTCTGGTATGGACTAAAGCCAAGCTCATTCACTGGCCACAGCTTATTGGGCGTGCACTGATGCCTACCTTTTGGGTTTGGACGGGTCATCCGTACAGTCACTTGTAGTCTCCGATGGGAGCTTTAATGATTTGACCTAATAAGGCCATGTGGATATATAAGGTCACTGATGTCACCAGCATACCACCCCTTTGTTTACATGTGGCTTAGGGGTGGGTATTATCTGGTTGCAGCTTATTGGGTTTCAATCACCTAACTTCTGGATTTGGAGGAGCTTGGCTCATCAGTCTTCAATGGAAGCCCATGTGGCAGGGCGACAATGCGGGAGCACCAAGGAGCAGGATGCTGGTGACATTATTGACCTTGTATGGCCACATAATCTTATTTGGTCAATGGCATTAGCCTAATATGGCCCTGTGGCCATATTAGGCTAATGATGTCACCAGCATGCCGCCCCTTCACATTAGTTTAACAGCAGGAAAACACAAAAATGTCCAACACGTTAAAACAAACTCCCCCTTCTTCAGGTTTGGACATTGCAAAGAATCTTTGGGTGGAACAGATCCCAGGTTTCTTTACAATTTCCAAACCACTATGAATTATCTTTGGTAACAATACCATCTTCAGAATCCCATCACTTAGAACACCCGAGCCCTGAAGACGGGGAAGTTTTACCCCCGAAATGTGTTGGCTTTGGTCTCCTTCAGACTCTTCGTCATTCAACACTTGCAGAAGTGCTTGAAGCCTTTGTCCCCCACCACACGCTGTCCTCCGGACATCGTCCTCCAGGACATAGTAGTCAATCGATGGAAACATGGCGTGGGGCAGGGGACAGTCCCGATAGTGTCAAATGCTGAAGAGTCTGGTGGAGACTGTAGAACGGCGGAAGACATCTTGATAGCAGCAGCTTCTTTTTGATGGGTCTGCTATCAACATTTTTGTGGCAATGACTGTGTTGTATTAATATCCACAAAGGTGAGGACGGCGACCACGACGAAATAAAATAATTGTTCCAAATAAAAGTGAAGAATGTGAAACATCATTTTAACTAACCTTTAACTAACCTTCTCCTGCAGACGCTCGAGCATAGCGGCTAGATGGGCCTCCCTGTTCTCCTTGTTGACCTCCATTTTCTGTATCAGCTTCTCTTTGGCCATTTTGCTGAAGTTGTTGTTCTCCTCGATGGCTTTCTGAATGACCTCGCGCTCGTGTTCCCTCTTCTCTGCCAGGTGTTTGAGGAGCTCGGCTTCCTGACACTAGAGGGAAAAGAGACGGGATTAGTATCAAAAACACAGGTCAGTTCTTATTGCCCCCCCACCCCCACTTTGGATACATATATATATATATACACCGAGTGGCCAGATTATTATGACCACCTGATGTTTTGTAGGCAAATTAGCTATAATTTGGCGCTGAAGTTGCTAGAGGGCCGGACCATTATAAATAGGGAATCGGGTTGTGTTACCACGACAGTAGAAGTGATTTGTTTCTGAAGATACGGGGAAACAACGCGATGTAACAGCCTTGGAACGCGGGATGATTGTTGGCGCTCGGAGCCATGGAGCAAGTATCAGCAAAACAGCAGAATTCGTTACATGTTCAAGAGCAGCTGTTGTTAAAGTGTTTAAAGACCGGACTGTTAAAGACTCTAGTTTCCCCTTTAGGCTTTTTACATCTAATGCTGATCTAATCAGAAGTTCCGGAGTTTTCTGGCTAAATTTCCATCCATACACCATGGAATCAGAAGATGAGGCCAACACTCCTCTCAGGACTTTGCAGATTATTAGACATGGTCATGCTCAAAGTGAATATGGCATCAGAGTAATGAAATCTTTACACAATTTGCAGCATGGGCCTTGTTTGTCTTGGTATGACACAGTCAACAAAAATTGTAAGTATTGAAGGTTTCATAGGATGATGAGCTAAATCTAAACTCAACACCGGATTTTAATTTTGGATAGAGTAATGTATGGTCCAAATCCGTGTCAATCAGAAAGAGAGTCATTCTCCCCAGTGAGGACACAAATAGATGATAAGCACTCAAAAATTGCCCTACGAGAGTCAATTAGAGGTTGTTTGAAACATTGAGAGAAGGTTGTACTTCCTAGGAGGACCATGAAAAACCTCCCCAGCTGAGGTGATACTAGCAGTGTGTTGGAACAACTTTGGCCATGCTGAGAGATCACGTACAAGCAAGTAAGTCAGTCCTTTGACCTTATCAAGAATGCCCATCAACCCTGAAGGCCAGGGGATGTCGGGACATCAGAATGCTGAAAAGTTGACTTGTGGTCCAGTGGTGGGTCCAATTGTTGGAGGACTACATGAAGCAGGATAACAGGCCTTCTATTGTAAGTGACAGCCATACTGGTTAAACATCCAGCATTTTGCAGTAGTTTGGACTGCTCTTTAGAAGCGCCAGGTTCAGTTTGTATTAGTTTATCACGTTGGCTCTGTTCCTTCCAATGAGGTGGCAGTAGGTCAATCAAGCTACACCAAAACTGGCCCTAGGGAGAGAATATCTTCATACCTGTGGTAGGAAAATAATGCTGTGAGCTCCTCTGGGGCGGGGACTGATATTAATGGTTGTAAATTGCTGTCCAATAACAGGGTCTAGAAAAATAGAATACAGGACTCTAGACACTGAACCTTTTGGTCCCGGAAGATAAAATATACTGTATGTGTGCCATTTTATTTAGAGGAACCCAACTCAGTAGGTAAAGTGTTAGACTTGTTTGTAGAACTAAATGTGCGTTCTTGGCCAACCTGAACCCCAGACAGTGTTCCTGCATGTGAACCCCTTCTCATTTACCTTACGTCTCTCTTCAGCAGCTTCAAGTTTTTTCTGGATCTCTTCCAGTGAGGGGTCCCGGCGTTGGGGGAGGGAGGTATTCAGTTCTGGGACGCCGTCAAAGCAAGGCGCCCTAAGGATGACCTCGTAGGCTTGGCCGGAGGTTCGTTTGTTTAACTCTATGACTTCCATGTCTGAGATGACGCACCACGTGAGGTCCACTGTATCTGCTGTGGATAGAGATGAGAAAATGTAAATGGTACGGAGCAGCAGGACATTTTTGTATGCTGCATTTGTGTTAGCTAGTCACACCTTCACATAAACATGTTAGCACTATATGGGCAAAAGTTTGTGGACACCTTACAATTACACCTACCTACAGGGCCAAATATATCTGAAAAACCCTCCAGATGACTGACAAGGTTACTTACAGAAGAGTGAAGAGTTTGGAGAAGTGAACAATCTAGGACAACATCGCTGATTTGGAAAAATTATCTAATTCAGCTCACTTTCCAGTTCAGCGATGTTGTCCTAGATTGTTCACTTCTCCAAACTCTTCACCCTTTTGTGAACAACCCTGTGAGTTTGGTGAAGACCCCTTTCTGTTCCACCATGACTGTCCTCTATGTACAAAGGCAGCTCCATAAAGATGTGGTGTGACCAGTGTGGTGCGGAGGACTTCAAGTGACCTTTTCTTCAGAGTGGCCTCCACCTCCACCACCACCAGAGTCCTGACCTTAACCATATTGAACACTTTTGGTTTGAATCGGTACACCAGTTGTGAGCCCGGTCTTCTCATCCAATATCAGTACCTGACCTCACAAGTGGGCGCACCTTCCAAAATCTTCTGGAAAGCCTTCCCATAAGTATGAAGGATGCTATAGCTGCAAAGAGGGATCAACTCCATATTAATGCTCATGGTTTTGGAATGGGATATCTCTCGCTCTCTCTCTCTCTCTCTCTCTCTCTCTCTCTACCAAAACTGGCCCTAGGGAGAGAATATCTTCATACCTGTGGTAGGAAAATAATGCTGTGAGCTCCTCTGGGGCGGGGACTGATATTAATGGTTGTAAATTGCTGTCCAATAACAGGGTCTAGAAAAATAGAATACAGGACTCTAGACACTGAACCTTTTGGTCCCGGAAGATAAAATATACTGTATGTGTGCCATTTTATTTAGAGGAACCCAACTCAGTAGGTAAAGTGTTAGACTTGTTTGTAGAACTAAATGTGCGTTCTTGGCCAACCTGAACCCCAGACAGTGTTCCTGCATGTGAACCCCTTCTCATTTACCTTACGTCTCTCTTCAGCAGCTTCAAGTTTTTTCTGGATCTCTTCCAGTGAGGGGTCCCGGCGTTGGGGGAGGGAGGTATTCAGTTCTGGGACGCCGTCAAAGCAAGGCGCCCTAAGGATGACCTCGTAGGCTTGGCCGGAGGTTCGTTTGTTTAACTCTATGACTTCCATGTCTGAGATGACGCACCACGTGAGGTCCACTGTATCTGCTGTGGATAGAGATGAGAAAATGTAAATGGTACGGAGCAGCAGGACATTTTTGTATGCTGCATTTGTGTTAGCTAGTCACACCTTCACATAAACATGTTAGCACTATATGGGCAAAAGTTTGTGGACACCTTACAATTACACCTACCTACAGGGCCAAATATATCTGAAAAACCCTCCAGATGACTGACAAGGTTACTTACAGAAGAGTGAAGAGTTTGGAGAAGTGAACAATCTAGGACAACATCGCTGATTTGGAAAAATTATCTAATTCAGCTCACTTTCCAGTTCAGCGATGTTGTCCTAGATTGTTCACTTCTCCAAACTCTTCACCCTTTTGTGAACAACCCTGTGAGTTTGGTGAAGACCCCTTTCTGTTCCACCATGACTGTCCTCTATGTACAAAGGCAGCTCCATAAAGATGTGGTGTGACCAGTGTGGTGCGGAGGACTTCAAGTGACCTTTTCTTCAGAGTGGCCTCCACCTCCACCACCACCAGAGTCCTGACCTTAACCATATTGAACACTTTTGGTTTGAATCGGTACACCAGTTGTGAGCCCGGTCTTCTCATCCAATATCAGTACCTGACCTCACAAGTGGGCGCACCTTCCAAAATCTTCTGGAAAGCCTTCCCATAAGTATGAAGGATGCTATAGCTGCAAAGAGGGATCAACTCCATATTAATGCTCATGGTTTTGGAATGGGATATCTCTCGCTCTCTCTCTCTCTCTCTCTCTCTCTCTCTCTCTCTCTCTCGGTGTCATGATCAGGTATCAAAATCTATGCCCATATAGTGTATATTGAATATATCAGGTAATATGTAGCACAATCCTTCATTATATCTCCAGGAAAAGATGGAACAGCTCTCCTGTACCAACAGACAAACAAAAAAACTCTGATTGTGCAGTAAAATGTAGAAGGGTTTAAACTACTGTCAGGTTATTATTACTGTCTGCATCTTCCTGCCCCGGCCACAACCATTCCCCTCATCTCTTATATTGCTGTCACAGGTTGTCACAGGGTCAGTAAAGTGGGGGGAAATCTCCCCAATGTGGTCACAGTCAGAAATGAAAACTTGACAGAATTTTTTACTCTCTCTAAAAAAAACAATGGCGGGAATAAGTTTTAAATAAAAGCTTGGGAATAGGAATGGTGATATGAAAAGTGCAGCAATGACATTTCATCTGTCAGCAGATCACAGAATTGAGGACGTATTGAAAACATCTTGAGGGGATAATATTTAGGAGACATTGAGGAGATATTGGGGACATTTTGAGGAGATATTGAAGCTACTTTTAGGAGATATTGAGGACACATTGAGGAGATATTGACAAGATATTGACAAGATATTGAGGAGATATTGAGGAGATATTGAGGACATATTGAGAAGATATTGAGGACATATTGACAAGATATTGAGAAGATATTGAGGACATATTGAGGAGATATTGAGGAGATATTGAGAAGATATTGAGGACACATTGACAAGATATTGAGAAGATATTGAGGACATATTGAGGAGATATTGAGGACATATTGAGGAGTTATTGAGGACATATTGATAAGATATTGAGGACATGATGAGAAGATATTGAGGAGATATTGAGAAGATATTGAGGACATGATGAGAAGATATTAAGGAGCTATTGGGAACATATTAAAAAGATATTGAGGAGATATTAGGGAGATATTGAGGATGTATTGAGGACATATTGAGCAGTTATTGAGGACATACTGAAGTGCTATTGAGGAAATATTTAGGAGATATTGAGGAGATATTTAGGACATCATGAGGAGATATTGAGAACATACTGAGGAAATATTGAGGCAATATTAAGGATATATTGAGGACAGTTTGAGGAGACATTGAAGACATATTGAGGAGATTTTGAGGAGAAATTAAGGAGATATCAAGGAGATGTTGAGGAGATATTCAGGAGATATTGGAGCTATATTGAGGATGTACTGAGGAGATATTGAGAAGAGATTGAGGACATATTGAGGAGATATTAGGAATATATTGAGGATATATTGAGGACATATTGAGGACATGTTGAGGACATATTGAGGAGATATTGAGGGCATATTGAGGAGATATTGAGGAGATATTGAGGGCATATTGAGGAGATATTGAGGACATATTGAGGACATGTTGAGGAGATATTGAGTGAGATATTGAGGGCATATTGAGGAGATATTGAGGACATATTGAGGACATGTTGAGGAGATATTGAGGAGATATTGAGGACATGTCGGGGACATATTGAGGAGATATTGCTCTTTGCTCACTATGGATTACTGCTCTCAGCTCTCTGCAGGCAGATTATGAATGTTCAGAGAGGTTCCACCGGATCTAAACAAAGCAACTCTGCCTGATACAAGGATGTGGAAGGAAAGCAGAGAGTTCAGGTGAGATAATGTCCTTACCATCATATTTGTAAGTTTGTTTCTTTAAGGGATCAGTGAAAAAACAGGAACAGAAGAGGGACACAAAGGGAAGCTCCTTCATCTTCTCCTTGTAGGCTGTGAGAGAGATCAGACACGTTAGGCGATTTCTTTCTTATTGTCACATAGGGATCACATGTGTAGAAAGCCAAAACTTTGTTTTGCCCTAAATAATATTTTCTTAGACTTTTCTACACATATTGCTTTATTGCCATTACAAAGAGACTGACAAGTCCCTATGACATAGCACATACAGAGTGTCAAGTCCTCTTTTTGGAGGCATCAATGGTCTCTTGGACACCTAACGCATCCTTTGCACTGCCCCCAAGATAGTATTCAACCGGCACCATCTAGGATCTGATAGCCCTGAACCTGGAAGTTCTCAGAGCTGAGCGCTTCCAGGCTCACTGCTCATAAAGGAGACTGAGAAATGGATGTTCCCCTTCACACATGAGAGGATCTCCGGCACTGCATGTACTGTAATGAACAAGAGCAGCGGGGATCCTGGGTGACATAATTGACCATATATGGTCGTGACCATATTTGGTCAATGACATTGCGGGGATTCCCAGCTGTGTGTTTATATTCTAGCCGCCAGGGATTCAGAAGTGAGAACAGGCCAATCATGCTGAGCCAAATTCTGCAGGAAGTTTCCCTCCCATTTCCCTGACCCCTCCCCCAGTAGTCCCTCCCACAGAAAGACCATTTTAAAGCCAAGTCACGGGCATGGGGCAGGCAATGCTCTTTCACATCCGGTGCCCGTACGTACAGAGCTGGGGTCCTTTAAGAAAGTAGCCAGGTCATGAAATGCCTGCAACCGACGCCCACAATCTTTCATCCTGCTGGTAGCTGGGAGGACGTACCTGCTAGTGTCATATTGCTGAGGTTGTTGATTGGTTCTCTGGGAGGTCTAGAGAATGAGGTATGTCACCTGGGAGAAGAGAAAAGACACTTGGATTAATGACTGTGTATTTTTAATTCAACTTTCATCCGGACACAGCTCTTATAAGACAACTGACGCGTTTCGAGCAAAGGCCACCCCCCATCTTCAGGGTATTATGAATAAACCCGAAGGAAATTAATTAAAACACCTTTGTAGAGGCTCATAAAATGGGAGCATCGGCGTATCTATGTGGCCACACTGAAGCTAACACCATACGGTTACACCTTGAAGAATGGGGAGGGGCTTCACCCGAAATGCGTTGGCTCTGTTATTTAATACACATCAATGTCAAGCTATCTGACCAATTGTACAAATGGATTGTCTGCTGAGCAGTTCGTTCATCGCCATCAGAGAGGCGGCAGCCCATGACCACTTTCTCACCGTGCCTCCATTGTATATTCAACGTCTTAAAGGAAAAGTAACCATCGGGATTTACCTAAATCAAAATCTTCTTTGTATCAGTCCAGCACTACCACACACCTCCACTCTTACAAAGCTTGTGGTCATTTCCCTTTGACTACACATTAAAATGTATTATTAAAAAAATTGCTGCTGATCCCGCCATGAAGGTCTTTGATCAGTCATTTCCTGTTATAGGCTGACAACGCTCACTTCCTGTTCTCCTGCGTGGTCACCCTTTCCCATGGGCTACTAATAAAGGCTATAACACAAACTACACAGACATGGTCCACTGTTGTCAACATTAGGAAATGACATGTGGCCATCGCTGGAGTGCATGTAGACAGGATGTAGCTGGAAAGAGACCGCAGGAGATTAGCAGCACTGAGGTGGAAGGATGAAAACAAATATTACGTGGCAATTGTTCATAATATACTGTTGAGATTTTATATATCTGATTTTTTTAATAGATTTTATATATATATGATTTTTTATGACATTTTCTATGTGATTTTTATATAATATTTTATGTACAGTATATACTCGAGTATAAGCCGAGTTTTTCAGCACATTTTTTGTGCTGAAAAATGCCCCCCCCCCCTCGGCTTATACTCGAGTCAGCGTCTCGAGAACTTGCGCTATGTTCATCCCTTATTATAGATCCAGTGATGTCATCACTGAGTCTCTGTGCCTCTCTGTGTAATGCAGGCTGGTGGGAGGGGCAGGCAGGACCCTGCCTCAGTACTCAGCCCTGATGCATCTCATTGCTGATGATGATCTCCCGCTGCTTCTTTGCAGCCGCTTCCCGTCTACATGGCCACATTGCTTTCCTCAGGGCGGGTTTTCCCAATGGTGACGACAGTGGGCCGTGCCTGCTGCTTATAATCTCCCCCGGAAGCTGATGCGACAGGGTGACAACACGGGATAGCGATTTGGAGACGCAGCGCAGAGCGTTGTCACCCAATCACAGGAAGTGAAAATAAACGGATTCTTCATGTTGGGTTATTGCTGCGGTTTGGGAAAAGACGCGACAAAGCGCTCAGGTGGGAATCGGCGGTCACTACTTGGACCTGTAATTCAGATGAAGCGTGTGATAAAAGTGGAGCTTGTCTCAATGAAAACAGTCAGCAGATGAGAGAGACGGGGGGCCCACTGGCTGCTGGATACCGATCCGATGCTATCCGGTGGCCAGCAAGTCCCACCTGGGCCAGTACTTATAGTCGCCCAAATGCCCCGATACCTTCCCCGATACCGTAACTTCCGATCAGAAGGACATTCCCTCTGAACGGCAGTGCCGCTAGAGAGCATAGAGCTGGCCTCCCGGCCAATCAGGAAGCCGGGCGGTTGGTCATGACCCGCCTTCTGGCTCCCTGATTGGCTAGGAAGCCGGCTTCACGTCGTCTAGCAACACTGCTGGGCAGCCTGGCTTTCTAACCAATCAGGAACATGGGCGGAAGGTCATGACCCGCCTCCCGGCTTCCTGATTGGCTAGGTAGCTTGCTTCATGCTGTCTACCGACACCGCGGGGCAGCCTGGCTTTCTGACCAATCAGGAACATATGCGGAAGGTCATGACCCGCCTCCCGGCTTCCTGATTGGCTAGGTAGCTTGCTTCATGCTGTCTACTGACACCGCGGGGCAGCCTGGCTTTCTGACCAATCAGGAACAAGGGCGGAAGGTCATGGCCCGCCTCCCGGCTTCCTGATTGGCTAGGTAGCTTGCTTCATGCTGTCTACCGACACCGCGAGGCGACCTGGATTCCTGACCAAGCAGGAAGGCGGCCGGCAGGTCATGACCCGCTGCCTGGCTTCCTGATTGGTCAGGAAGCCAGGCCGCCGTGTCACAAGGAAGTGTGAAGCCGGTGTTCTTTCGATAGAACACCGGCTTCCCAGGCAATCAGGAGGACGGGTGCCGGGCCCACGGTACCTCGGGGTGCCGGTATCAGTATTCGGTTAAAAAAAAATATCGGTAATCGTTTTCGATACTGGCAATCCGATATCGGAGCATCCCCAATATTTATTGATTCGCTTCTTACTTAGCTTAAGTTTTATGTCATTTTTTAATTTTTTATTGCTGTATCATATTTATCTCGTTATATTATATAAATGATAATCTTTTCTATCTATTCATATTTTAAAAATTATCAAATGTATCTTATTTATTGATTTTATATTTATTGATTCTTATCTTACATAGCTTAGGGTTTTATTTGTCTTAGTGATAGTTCTGGATCATGTTTATCTCTTCATGTTATATAAATAAAATGTGTCATATTTGTTGATTTATTCATTGATTAATAAAGTTTTTATTGTCAGTTTTTTTTACTTCTGTATCATATTTATCTCTATATATATAAATGATAAACTGCAATCGTATTTATTGATTCTTAGCTTACATACCTGAAGTTTTAGCATTTTTTTAATGCTGTATTAT